GACGAATAAAACTGGTTTAAGACTTTTCTGTTTTTGATTTTCAGATTTTTCTGTTTTTGATTTTCAGACTTTTCTGTTTTTGATTTTCAGATTTTTCTGTTTTTGAGTTTCAGATTTTTCTGTTTTTGATTTTCAGACTTGTTTTTTCGTTGTCCTTTTCTTTCCTCTCTAGTTCTCTTTGTCTCACTCTCTTATTTTGTTGTTTTTTTCTCTCTTTCGTAGTTTATTTTGTAGGACGGAGTTTTTCAGATTTACAAGATTACAGTCATCCATTTTTGAGTTTTTTCTCGTTATTCTGTGACTTCAGTCTGAATCAGCTGTAATCTTGTAAACTGACCAGTTTAACTGTAAAATAAGAACAGATGTGTCTCAGAAATGTTCTCATTAAATTCTCTTTAAACTTTAGGATTTTTCAGACTCCGACTTTTTTTCCTCACAACTGTTTGTTTGTTAAATTTTTTTTACTTCATCGCTGAGACTTTGTTCTTGTAAAATAATGAAACTAGATTTCTCTTGGAGTGTCACAAACCCGCCGCTGCGATCGTCCGTCAACAACGATGAAACGGTTTTAGAGATACTGTCCCAAAGTTTACGATTCAGAAAAAAACACGAAACTTCAAAAACTTTGAAAAGCTCGTAAAATGACGTCTGAGCTCCGATCTTCATCTCAAGTCGATCATTTCATCGGAGAAATTGTCGGAAACAATAACGTAAACTCTTTACATTGGATTTCTTTTAAAACTGTGAGCAGGAGTCAGTTTGACTTTGGACTGTTGGAGTCGTGAACTTAAAAAGAGACAAAGGTGGAAAAACTGAAACGATCATCTCTGGGAAACTCTGTTAATCAGCTGATCAATAAACAGCTGATCTCTGTGATTGTCATCAGCTCACATCCATCGACACTGAAATCTTCACACTTTATATTCTTCTTTATATTTGACTCCTTTAAAACAAATTTCTTATCGATAAAACGACAAAATTTTTAATTAAGGATAAAAATCTGAAATTAACTCAAAACAATAAAAACAATAAAAACAACAAAAATAAAAAAAACATAAAAACAATAAAAACATTAAACACTATAAAAACAATAAAAACAACAAAAATAAAAAACTATAAAAACAATAAAAACAACAAAAATAAAAAACTATAAAAACAATAAAAACAACAAAAACTATAAAAACAATAAAAACTATAAAAACAAACTATAAAAACAATAAAAACAAAAACTATAAAACAATGAAAACAACAAAAATAAAAAAACAACAAAAACTATAAAAACAATAAAAACAAAAACTATAAAAAAACAATATAAAAAACAATAAAAACATTAAAAAACTATAAAAACAAAAATAAAAAACAATAAAAAATATAAAAACAACAAAAATAAATAAAACAAAAACTATAAAAACAATAAAAACAAAAACTATAAAACAACAAAAACTATAAAAACAACAAAAACTATTAAAACAACAAAAACAATAAAAACTATAAAAACAATAAAAACAAAAACTATAAAAACAATAAAAACTACAAAAATAAAAAACAACAAAAACAATAAAAACTATAAAAACAATAAAAACAACAAAAATAAAAAACAACAAAAACTATAAAAACTATAAAAACATTAAAAACAATAAAAACATTAAAAACTATAAAAACATTAAAAACTATAAAAACAAAAACTATAAAAACAAAAACTATAAAAACAATAAAAACAACAAAAATAAAAAACAACAACAATAAAAACTATAAAAACAATAAAAACATTAAAAACTATAAAAACAATAAAAACAAAAACTATAAAAACAACAAAAACAATAAAAACTATAAAAACATCAAAAATCAGCAGCAGCTTAAAAAATTAAACCGTTTCTGATTTTTCTGTGAGTCAGTAAACAAACAAAATCAGTCAGACTGAAAAAATACTCAAAATCCTCAAAATCCTACTGTGAACAACGACACTGAACTCAGCACAGACACTGAACTGTCCTACAGACACTGAACTCAGCACAGACACTGAACTGTCCTACAGACACTGAACTCAGCACAGACACTGAACTCAGCACAGACACTGAACTCAGCACAGACACTGAACTGTCCTACAGACACTGAACTGTCCCTCAGACACTGAACTGTCCTACAGACACTGAACTCAGCACAGACACTGAACTCAGCACAGACACTGAACTGTCCCACAGACACTGAACTCAGCACAGACACTGAACTGTCCTACAGACACTGAACTGTCCCACAGACACTGAACTGTCCTACAGACACTGAACTCAGCACAGACACTGAACTGTCCCACAGACACTGAACTCAGCACAGACACTGAACTCAGCACAGACACTGAACTCAGCACAGACACTGAACTGTCCTACAGACACTGAACTCAGCACAGACACTGAACTGTCCTACAGACACTGAACTCAGCACAGACACTGAACTGTCCCTCAGACACTGAACTGTCCTACAGACACTGAACTCAGCACAGACACTGAACTCAGCACAGACACTGAACTGTCCCACAGACACTGAACTCAGCACAGACACTGAACTGTCCTACAGACACTGAACTGTCCCACAGACACTGAACTGTCCTACAGACACTGAACTCAGCACAGACACTGAACTGTCCCACAGACACTGAACTGTCCTACAGACACTGAACTCAGCACAGACACTGAACTGTCCCACAGACACTGAACTGTCCCACAGACACTGAACTGTCCTACAGACACTGAACTGTCCTACAGACACTGAACTCAGCACAGACACTGAACTGTCCCACAGACACTGAACTGTCCCACAGACACTGAACTGTCCTACAGACACTGAACTGTCCCACAGACACTGAACTGTCCTACAGACACTGAACTCAGCACAGACACTGAACTGTCCTACAGACACTGAACTGTCCTACAGACACTGAACTCAGCACAGACACTGAACTGTCCTACAGACACTGAACTCAGCACAGACAGTTGTCTTTGATGTCTCACCGACGGACGTGCTGATTGGCTAACTGTCTCCACGTGTCACGCTCAGTGGGTCCCCACTTTGACAGTTTAACAAGTCCGTGGGTTTAAGGTGTGTTTTTTTGGTGATTCGGACAGGCACGAGGCTCGTGTTCCCGCGTGCTGTGTGTTCAATCTCGGGTTAAAGCCTCTGCACGTGCACACGACCTGAGAGAGAGAGCGAGCGAGAGAGAGAGAGAGAGAGAGAGAGAGGGGGCGGAGCCTGCGCGTCTTCCCCTCGGATAGTTACGGGGGCTCGTGGCAGCAGCAGCAGAGGGATGGTCTCGCGCTCGCCGCGGGCAGCATCAGGTCATGTTGTCCGCGAGGCTGGACACCTGCCCGCGTGTCACCTTCAGCGGAGCGGGAACTGCAGCGGTAAGAACAACGGTCCGTGTGTCTCTGCTGTCTCTGCTGTCTCTGCTGTCTCTGCTGTCCTTGTCTCCGTCCTCTGTCCTCTTCTTCTTCTTCTTCTTCTTCTTCTTCTTCTTCTCTGTCTCCTTCTGTCCTCTCTTCTCTCTCCCTCTGTCCTCTGTCTTCTCCTCTCATCTTTTTCTCTCTCTCTCTAATTCAGTCCCTTTCCTCTTCTTTTTTCTCTCTTTCTGTCTTTTCTTCTTCTTCTCTTTCTCTTTCTGTCGTCTGTCCCCTCTTCTCCTCCTTGTCTCCTCTGTCCCCTCCTCTCCTCCTTGTCTCCTCTGTCCTCCTGTCTTCAGGTGAACTTTCATCTTCAGCGTTTGTCGGTTAATCAGCTGTAATTGATTCTTCTTCTTGTCGTTCTCATTGATTATTGATTGTTTATCGTATTAATAGACGATCAGGTTGATTGATCTGAACCGACTTTATTGAGATTTTTGACTAAACGTGTCTTTATTTGACTGTGAGACACTGAGGACAAAAGCAGAGGGACCTCCTGTCCTCTCCCGTCTTCTCTCGTGTCCTCATTATCGTCTCTCTGACTTTGTCCCCGTCCTCGGTTCGAGTCGTGTCCGATTCCTCGTTCGTTTTGACGTTGTCTCGTCGTGGACGATCGTCTCCTCATGTCTCACGGATGTTTGAAAGAGGACAAATTCAGCCGGAGACAAACTTGACCATCTTAGAAACGGACCCGCCTCTGCTGTCCCCGTCTCTCGTGGATTTGTCCCGTCACGTGTTGGTGGTTTGAGTCGTACGATCGTCACGTTTGATTGGTCGCTCCTCAAACGTTGACGTCGTCCTCGTTCTCATGGTCGATTGATCAGCCTGATCTCTGCGATCAGACGATGAAGTCCGACCTTCAAGTCTCAGACTCTATAAACAGATACTGATCACTGATACATTGATCACTGATACATTGATCACTGATACATTGATCACTGATATTTGCCTTCATAGAGGATGTTGCTCATGTAGAGGGTGTCCCTTTAGATCAGGTCTCTAATGAAAACTGGACCTGGGTTCAGTCCGATGACCCCTTTAGATCTGGATGAACTCCTCGATCTGTTCAGTCCGTGTATCAGATCAATAACGATCAATAATGATCAATAATGATCAGGTTTGTTTACAGATAAACTGAGCCGCAGATGAACAACAGAAACACGTTTAACACCTGAAGAGGGGTAACCATGACAACAACCAACCGATTAATCAACTGATCAACTATCAACTGATCAATTATCATCTGATCAATCCACAAACCAAGCAGGAGAGAGAGACACAGAGAGAGAGAGAGCGAGCGAGAGAGAGAGCGAGCGGTGGTGACAGTGGGGGCTGTGAGGTGTCGAGTGTCGGCTCGTCGTCATATCGATTCAGAAATAACCCAACGGAAACTCTGAGAGGACACAAACACCTCCTCCTCCTCCTCCTCCTCCTCCTCCACGCTGTAAAAATAACCTGGGGGGCAGCAGGGGGCGGGGCTTCAACTGGACCCAGAGGATCAGCGTGGCGTTCCTGACCTCAGTGCTCGCTCCAAACCCCAAACAGAGCTGACTGTTGGCTTCCTGTGAG